TGCCCAAGATTCTATGCTAGGCCCTTTTCTTTCCTTATACACTCTCTCTCATGGTAACCTCATCAACTCTTATGGCTTTAATCACCTTTTTTCTGCAGATCACTCTGAGATATCCAGACATAGTCTGTTCTCTGAGCTTCAGTCTTGTATCACCACTTGCCTCCTGCATGTCCAGGAGATAAACTCACTTTCTAAAATTGAACTCATCATCTTTCCCCCTAAGGCCTTCCGTATTCCAAACTTCTCTATTTCCGTCAGAAGCACCACCAACTTTCCAGTCTCCCAGGTTCATAATCTTGGCCTTATGTTGAATTCATTCTCCTTCATCCACATGGTCAAAGTCACCAAATCTTGCTATTGATACTGTCACAATATCTCTTGCATCTAGCCTCTTCTCACCACTCATGTAGTTACCAACTTAATGCGGACCGTAGACTCTTGTCTAGATTATAGTAAAATCTTTCTAAATGGTCTCTCTACTTCAACTCTCTTCCTACTCTAGTGCAGTCAGTCACCTAGTGTTTATTAAGCATCTCCTATGTGCCAGACAATGTGCTAAGTGATGAAGACAGAAAAAAAGGGCAAAAAAACCAGTCTCCTCAAGGAATTCACAGTCTAATGGAGGAAGACAATAGGCAAATAACTATATGCACACATATATATACACACATATACATTTCACATGTATATACATATATTTCATCCATAAATATATATCAAACATACATTTATGTGCATATTTATCTATAGAAAGATAACTAAATATAAAATAAATTGGGGGAGATGGTCAGGACTGGGAAAGGCTTCTTGCAGAACATGGAGGAGACAGAGATGAAAAGAGAGAGCATAGACTGCTAAAGTAAGTTTAAATACAGATCCGACCATGTGACCACTACTCAATCTATTTAAGTGTCTTTCTTTGCCTCTAGGATAAAATAGCAATGCCTCTATTTAGCTTTTTAAATTCTATACAACCTAGCCCAAACCTACTTTCCCACCATCACTGGCTATTACTCTCCCTGCCAAACTCTGTAGTCCAGCCAAATTGGCTTTCTCTGTTTTTCACAAACAAAAAAACTCCATCTCCTGTCTCCACAGTTTTGCACTGGCTGCCCTACAAGCCTAAATGCACTATTTCATTACCTCTGCCTCACAGAGTCTCTCTCTTCCTCCAAGATTAAGCTCAAGCACCATTTTCTACATGAAGCCTTTCCTGATACCCCAAACGCTAGTACCCTCCCTCCCAAACTACCTTGTATTTCACTACTTTGTACAAACATGTACAAACATCTATTTGTTGACAGCATATTTATGCTATGGATATTTTTATATGCACTTGCTGTCTCTCCTACTAAAATCTTATTTATTATTGAAAAGGAATTGTTTAATTCTCTGCACTCACCTTGTGTTTACACCTAGCACAGTGCTGATACAAAGTAGGAACATAAATACTTGTTGAATGATTGATTGCCCGGGGCCCTGGAAATATAAATGGCTTGCCTAGAGTCATACAGGCAGTAGTACTGTGTGAGGCTGGACCTGAACTCAGGTCTTCTGATTCTGAAGTACACTTTCTACCCACTGTGTTCCACTATCTCTGAATAGTAAAACTTCCATTATCTAGCATAAGCCATTTGGGAAAAGCAGGTTTTCTAGATATCTAAATGTCTACCCTTTAGGCACCCAAACTTTTTTACTGAAGACAGTTTAGAAAGAAGAAAATTCACATGTATTTGTACATATATGTGTTCACTTTTTCTAAACACAATATAAGTATAGAGACTGGACCTTTGACCTCATTGATGAAGGGAAATCTTAGTGAGTAAGGAACTTCCTCTACCAAGCAGGCTGGCACTTCCTCCACAATAGAGTAATAAAGGTGTGCCCAGAGCAGTGGTTCTCAAAGTATGGTCCACTGGGCACTTATGAGACCCTTTCAGGGAGTCTGTGAAGTCAAAAGTTTTTCAGAATAATATAGTTTTGATTTCTAACATGGCAAATAGATATAATGCACATAAACAAAAGCTCTTTGGATGGGTCCAGAATTACACAGACATTATGTTCCACAGGTTGGATTTGAATCCAGGTCTTCTTTAATTCAAAGTCAGCTTTCTATTCACTAAGCCTCCCTAAAACAAAATAATAGTGAACATAATTTCATCTATTTTGGTGACTCAGGAGCCTTATTTAAAAAATCATTAAAGGCTTTTTTCTCTAGTCATTACATGATATAATCTTGCTGACCCCAATGAACTCTCCCCTATAACAAAGGAAAACAGTTAAACAAAACCTACCAGCAAAATAATAATATTTGACAGCTACTACTCCAATAGCTCTCCACTTCTATACTAGGGGAGTGTGCTTTGTCATCTGTATTCTAATAGCCAGCTTTGAAGTCCTCTGCTGTACAGTGTTTTCAATTACACTTTCGGAGTTGCTGTATATACTATTTTCTGACTCAGGGTTATTATTATGAATACCAGTTAACATTAATAATGAGCTACAGGGGCAGCTAGGTGGTACAATGGATAGAGCACTGCCCCTGGAGTCAGGAGAACCTGAGTTCAAATGTGGCCTGAGACACAGAACACTCACTAGCTACGTGATCCTGGGCAAGTCACTTATCCCCAACTGCCTCACAAAAAAACAAAACAAAACAAATAATGTGCTACAGAAACAGTTTGTAAGGTGTGAGACAAATGGCTAAATAAATTCTGATCCAAATAGTGACCCTGGAAGCTGCCTTTCCTGAAAAACTAAATCAAACTTATTTTTTTGGTAACCTTTTCTCTTTGTTGTCATTGTTGTTCAGTTGTTTTCAGTCATGTTCAACTCTTTATTACCCCATTAAGGGCTTTCTCGGCAAAGACACTGAAGTGGTTTACCATTTCCTTCTCCAGCTCATTTTACAGATGAGGAACTGGGGCAAACAGGGTTAAGTGACTTGCTCAGGGTCACACAACTAGTAAGTGGCTGAGGCTGGATTTGAACTCAGGAAGATTCACCTTCCTGACTCCAAGCCCAGTGCTCTATCCACTGTACCACCTAGCTGCCCCATTTTTTTCTCTAATAAAGGGGAAATGAAGAAAATGCAGCTACAATGTCACATGACTATATTTCTGTAAAGTTAATTAACCAACCAAAATCCAAAGCTCTCAATCAATCAACAGTCTCACTCAACAAGTATTTATTAAACCAATTCTCAAGTGGTTTTCTTAACCTTCAGGAAATTACTGACTTTTTTTTTTTAACTATTACTGCCATTACCCCAATATAACTGACCACCTCCTTACCAGCTGCTTCTTCTTTCTTTCATTCTTATCTTGTTTGTTCATGGGGTTTAAAGGAACATTCCTTACTGTCAGGTTTACGTGATACAGTTAAATGTGTACATATACACACATGTGAAATGTACACACATATTTAAAACTACAACACAATTTTCTATTGGTGTTATTGGTGACCATTTAGCACCCTCATCTACCTAGGTATCCAATTTCTACTGACTCATGGTAGAAACCTACAGAGGTAATGGTTGTATCCCTCTAACCTTAGACAAGACATTTGTTCTATCTTGTCTTAACCACTTACCACCACCCTCAACTCTGATGATAAGAATCTGCTGCTCACCCCTAGTCTTCCTTCAAATCTTTGACATTTCCTTCTCTCTTCTCTCCTTCCTTCATTTTTCTCCTATTGCTTCACCTATGCTTTGTTTCTCATTTAAAAAAAAAGGCAAAGCTTTTATTGATTCCATCAGAGACAGTGCTTACTGTTTTTCTCTTGTCAATGTATGGTCATTGATCAGGGAGGAATCCAGCCTAGGGGGAGGGCACTGTGCTATGAGTTAGAACTTGGGTTCAAGTCTCATCTCTGTAGTTTCCTTAGCCATGTGACTTTGAATAAATAATTTCACCTCTCTGAGTTATAGTTTTCTTATTTATGATAGCTGTCAATTCAAATCATGAAACTAACTAATATTTGTACTAACCTCTTCACAGGGTTTTTGTGAAGATAAAACATTATAATGTGTGGCAGATGCACTATATAGCTATAGAGCTATACAAACAGATAAAATATTATCTTTCTAGGTGATATTTATCCATGCATTGGCTTTTAAAAATATTTTATTTTTTATTATTTTAAACATCACCAAAAATGAAGATTTCAATATACAATAGGGAAGAAAAAAGAACTAGATTTCCCTAGGTCTTCACTGCCACCCAATGCTGAGAATTACAGCAACCTGATTGCCATACTATAGAAGAGAGAATTATTTCCACAAACACTACATTTCAAAATGACTGCATCACAGTCAGTGATATACCTGAACCATGTTCATGAACTTAACCTTTAAAAGGGAGAATAAAAAAAAACATGATAGAAAAGGTGGAAAAAACATGGTCTGAAACGGCCAGAGGGAGGAAAAGGTGGAAATGCAAGTTCTGTCGTCCATTCAGGGAATCATGCACATGACATGTTAGGAGAGGAGAGAACCACCTGGTGCCAGACATGGCAGCCAGGGAGCAAGGAGGAAGTTCTCTGGATACATTGGGAGCTGAAGGAACGTTAGTAAGAAGCAGTGGAATTCATGAAAGTAGCAGCCAGAGTTATTGAAGGAGTAAAGAAAATCCAGGATCAAGACTCTTGAACACTTAAGAAGTCTGAACAATCAATCAATCAAGTATTTACTATGAGCCTACTGTAGGGGCTAGATATTCTGCTAAGTGCTAGAGATACAAGCCTATCAAATGAAAAAAAAATTCCTACTCATTAGGAACATACATTCTAATGAGGAAAAAAGTACATATATTTGTATATCTACATATATATATATATAGAGAGAGAATAAACATAAAAAGAATAAACATAATTAATACAACATAGTTAAATACAAGGTAGTTTTGAAGAAGGGTACTAGCATTTGGGGAAATAAAGGAAGGGAGGGATACTATGAAGGAGAGGTTAGGAGAAAGAACAATCAAGTCATGGGACACTGCAAAGGGGATAGCATGCTTTATTGGCTGGCCTCAAAAGGGCTGAGTCTGACTTTGTGTGGGGAGGAAATACCATACAATGAGGCTGGAAAAATTGGTTAAGTAAAGGTTGTAAAAGGCTTAAAACAGAAGAGTTCATATTTTATCCTAGAGGAAGCCACTTGAATTTAATGCATAGGGGAGTGAGATGGCCAGATACAAACATCCAGACAATGCAGAGCTCCTGGACCAAACCTATAGGAAAAAAAAAAAGCAAGAGTTACTAGAAAACATCACCTTCCTAGTCCAAAGGAGCCATTCTGGGAATTGTAGGAGCCAAAGCAAAGAAGTAGAAACAGGGAAAAACAGAATGTGGAACAACCAATCTAGACCTTCTCCTGCAGTGGAACTGCACGTCATGTCAACTATGTCCTGGAGAGAAAGGTCAATGCTCTAGAAACTCCAAGTGCTTTTCCTTTTTGTGAGGTCCCTATGAAACCAACGCAAATAATCTAGGGGATTAGGAAGGTAGGACTCACCAGACCAAAGTCTCTAGTCATTTCTTTAAGTCTCTAGAAATCCTGAGACATTGTCCCTTTGGAAAGGCCAGCCTTAACTATAATAGTAGCCTAAGTCTGGCGGTTATTGTAGAAGACCCTAAGAAATAGGATTCACTAAATACAGAGTTTACTCTATGATAATGTCAAATAATTTCCCTTGAGGCATCTAAGTAGTGCAGTGGATAGAGCATGGCATTAGGAAAACCTGAGTTCAATTCTGACCTCAGATGCTTAATAGCTTGTGACCCTGGGCAAGTCATTTAACCTCTGTCTGCTTCAGTTTCCTCAACTGTAAAAAAGGGGGTAATAATAGTACCTACCCACAGGGTTGTTGCGAGGATCAAATGAGATAATATTTGTAAAGCACTTAGCAGAGTGCTTGGCAAATGGTAGATGCTTAATAAATATTTGTTCTCTCCCTCTTTCCCTTAGTGAGATCCCAATCAAAAGGTAATGTTGTGGATCTTAGAGAGCTATAGAGGTCTGTAGGGAGGAAGGAGGTTCACTGGAGCCAGAAATCTTGACTGGTTATAAGATCAGGTAAAAGTCATTCTGTTTTGTATTACTTTGAATAAGGCCTTTCTTGTATTTGATATAGTTAGCGATAGGGGCTAAAAGCCCTTTTACTTATGTACTTATTTTTTTCTGTATAGAGACACCAGCTAAATTTTAATGCTCCCGTGGGAAATTCTGGGTGGGGACTCAAGCTAAAGAGATGCTGGAAAGACACTCCAAGCTTGAACTGCATCCAGAGTTGTGGTTTTGGGCCTCATTACAATATAGAATACTGTTAACAAATGAAACAATTTAACAAGGTGGTATAATTTTACAAGTTGCTAAAATACATACATGGTGTCACATAGACAGTGAACATAAAAAGTGTTCAGAGAAGGGAGAGGTCAGCATGGTTTAACATTATTAGCTTCATTATAGTTGTACATCTGTTACAGCCCAGCCTCCCTGAACATACCACCACTATGACTTCCTGAAAAATCAAACAACAGGAGCCACAGTGGCAGCTGCCTAAGCATCCACTGCCATTTATGAGTTATCCCAACCCTTATCAAATTTCTGGATGAATCAGAAGTACAAAGTTTGGGTGGCGGCTATACTAGAGTTGCAGGAAAGTAAGAGGCCACCACCAAGAATGAGAAATTGGAGGCTCTCACAACATCTCTAACCACACAATTATTTGTCCCCAGGTTTCATGATGCTTAGCTTCTACAGAGCAGAAATGCTGTAGACTTAATTTTAATAAAATATACACAAAAAAAGTGGTAAAGAAAAAAGAGGAATGGATTTGGAGCTAGAGAACCTGGGTTCATTCTTCACTCAGGCTTCTTAATACCTATGTGACCTTGTGCAAGTCATGCCATCTCTCTAGACCTCAGTTTCCTCATTTCTAAAAGACAGGGGGTCTGAGGCAATCACTTAAGTTCCTTCAAGCCCTAAATCTACAACATTATGAATACATTAAAAATAAGGAGTCACAACTTTCTTTTAAATTAGCCATGAAGAATAGTTGTGGTTTATATTAAATAACATCAAACTCGTACCATTTTTTGCCTTTTGTGCTTTGCATTTTCAGTGGCAGACATAGTCAGATCCAAAAGGTGAATATTTTTATTGGCAAGACCATCATAAATGCTTAATAGCAATCATTTTAATAAGTGGAAATTGTTTTGAGAGAGACAAAGTACTTCAATTACAAAAATATAATCTATAGTAACTGCTTTCTTCCCTTCCCCCTTCAATTTTAATATGCATTCTCTGAATGAAGGCTTAGAAAATTTACTAAGAGCAAATCCAATGTCTCTACTTAATTGGTATGCCGGCTGTGTAGAGACTACTATGCAGTAGCACAGTACAGTTCATCAGTAATAGAAGGCACAAAAATGTTATAGCTAAACCATCATCTTGCTTTCATGACCATCTTGTAACGCTTACATGCATACATCCAAGAAACTGAATATCTAAGTTTGCAACATTTTAAGTATATTGTTTTTAAAAATCATTGAATGTTTAAGAAAGTATTGTACATATTGATACTTACATAAAATTTAGGCAAGCCTACAGTTAGAAAAAAATTAAATAGTCTCACAGTACCTAGGTGTTTTTTTAGCACTTCTAGGACATCTCCTTTAAAATGTGGCCAGAAATACCATAAAAGGAATCCTCCCTTGCTAGTGTTTTTTTCTGCAATTTCATTTTGGTCCCAAGAGAAAAGGAAGAAATTTGAAGACTAAAACTAAAAGAAGAAAGCAGATCCAAGCCTTTAGGTGAAGAAGTTAATTGCTATATAATGTCTAGCATATAGAGCAAATATCAAGCACGTGCAAAAGACATTATCTTCCCTCTGGAGAACCTTACAATTTAATACAAACTTAACTGCAGATATATTTCCTAGATAATTAACAAAAACCAGAAGTTGATCAGACTTGTTACTTAAGGAATTGATTCAAACAGGTGAACCCGTTAGCAAAAACAAAATTTTAAATGGTGGGCAACAAAAACAGTTGGTCTCCTTGAGGGTTATTCCAAGGACTATGGCCAAGAATATAAAATAGTTCAGATCCCTACAAATTGACTTACATAGAATGAGCATGTTCCCACAAACACCATGAAGTATATTGTCAGGTAAATTTCAAAGCTTCTGTAGTAGGATGGTGGTTGTTTTGAAATAGTTTTGGAATGCTAGTACTTCTTCATTTTTCTTTCTTCCAGGCCACAGAATCTCCAAAAATAAACCCCAATAGAGAACAAAAAAAAATTTAAGAAAAAAAAACAGGAAAAAAACCACACTTAAACTACAGGGAAAACCCAGCACTATCAGAAGTTTTAGCTAGGCCACCTGACAAGCCAATGGCTACATTCTAGAGAATACCAGACTATACAAGTCCATTTTATGCCATACGAATCTTCTCAATGAATAAACAATCTCATTTTATTCTGAAATTTCAAACACTCAGGCAGGTGTCCAATGAGAAAGAATAACTAAGCTATAAATGAGTCAACTTGTTTTTTTAAGACAATCTAATACTCAAAAAGACAATACAGAGCAGTCATGCGATACACAGTATCCCAAAAATCTTAGTGAAGTTTTAAGTTTTAATAGCCTTACTAGCTTAACTCTGCATTAAGGACATCCTCTATATCAGCAAAAGGAATTCTTGCAATAATTCATTTTAGGTGAACTTAAGTCAAAGAACAGAGATTCCTTTTCATATACCTTTGGACAAAAGAAAGGTTTAAAAACAAACAAAAATACAAGAGAAAATTCCATAAATTAGATGTTTGGAGAAAAAAATCTAATTCAATCTTTCACATTACAGAGGTTTTTCAAATGAATAAAAATCACTGTAACATTTTGTTATGTATCAGTTGTTTCTTGAGGTCATTAAAAAGCAAATCTACAGATACTCAAAATTTGATTGGCTTTTCTGTCCAAATGTCTACAAAATTAATACAATTTTATTTGTTTTATGTAGTGAAATAATACCCTAATACCAAGAATATGTTTTCTCCTTACTAGGTAACTTTAGAGACTGCTAACCAAAACTGCTGCATCATGAGATCTCTTCGAGGTCATTGCTAAGAGAGCTTAGACAGATAACACATTTGGTCAAAGCATATTATTGCTAAATTTTTAAAAAACACTTAATTGAGAATGACATAGTGATTGAATAAGGCCATAGGTGAAATGATAATGGAAGAAACAAAGACTTAGTTTTTGCCTGTTCTGTTTGAATCATCTATTTTTTTAATCAAGTGTGTTTTATATTAGTCTTCAGAATGCTGATAATTACATCACTTAGCATATACTAAAAATTCTATTAGATGAAAAAAGGAAATTATAATTTCTTAAAATGTAATTAAAATTATTTCTCAAAGTAGAAAAAATACAGATAGAAATTCATGTGCTCTTTTTAACTATTCATACTCGGAGCTACAATCTTGGCATTATACAATATTTAGAACCTAATTATCTTAATTTTACTGCAATAAGATAATACCAGAAAAAGTGTAAAATAATTTAAAATTGTATAACATGTATTATTTACTTTGTTTATACAAGTCTGTTGATAATAGTATTAAGCAAACATTTTATTCACTACTACAGAGATCACACAGTAAGTATATCACTTGCCCCTAAAGTGGAAACTTTCTTTTTACCATAAAGTTGTCACCCTTAAGGGACTGAATAAAACTAGACAGAAATTCAATTAGTTTTTATTTAGCTCTAAAAATTTAGAATTTAGGTCATATTAATTTATTCTTTCATTCATTTATTGGAATTTATTTAAGGGAAAATCAACAAGTTTCAAGTATGGTCCTCAATAATCCATTTGATACACAATCTAGGCAAAATGATAACATCTACCATAAAAAGAACAACAAATAATTTTGCAATACCAAAAATTTAAACAAAATAGATGAACAAAACTAGTTTATCATGACTATCAGATTTGAGGAAAAAGTAGACTTACTTCTGATTACATAGTAGTAGGTCTAATCCTACTCTTCCTGATTCCAAATCTGGTATGTTACAATCTACTACATCATGTTGCTTCTCCAGTCTATGTTCCAGTCTAACTGTTCTACTTTCTATTCTCTGCTTTTGTCCAGTCTCCACCTTTTTTTTTATGCTGCCCCTCATAACTGGTGAAATCTCAACTGCCAACTAATTCCATGAAGACTTTTCAAGCCCTTGCAGCTGAAAGCGTCCTACCTCTTAACAAAGCATACTGCCTAGGCACAATATTTATATAGGTTATGTTGGTAAATCCCTTCTCCCATCTAATTAAATTAGTTTGCAAGATCCTTGAAAACATCTATCTTTGCATTTCCAGGGTCCAGCAGAGTTCTTTGCACATGGCAAGCACTTTTAAGGTAGCTGAAAGATTTTTTTTTAAATCCCCCTCTGACCTATAGGGCCTCCGTCCATTTCTACAATGACAGTAACACAGTGGGGCAGGAAACGGAATAGAGCATACTAAGGCTTGCAGTTTTTAGATGGGCAAAAAACTTCAATCTGTCTGTTGTTACTCTAAGGGTGACATCCTTGTCCAATTGCCAAGGAGTAGATATGTTCCTGGATAAGCTGAATGATATAATTCTTAATATTCTTGTTATAAAGAAAAAAATAAATTCTATCTAAATATAAGGAGATGGCTCATAAAGACATTTTAGAGAAATAAAGAAAGGAGCTGTCAGAGTGGGTTTCATTAAACACCCAAAGGTTACAAGAAACTTTATTTCACGGGTCATTTGGTTGTAATAAACTGTACTATTAATAATAAGTATTTGTTAAATGAATACCATGAAAATAATTGCAACTTACACACCATATCAGTTACTGAGGACAAACTGGCAAAGAAAAAAAAAGACGACATAAGATCCTCCAAATCTAATCAACATACCTTCTGGTATTCGATGACTTCAATGCAAAGATAGGGACAAATATATGGATAAATATGATATAGGAGGGGAAAAAAAAGTCCAAGACTTTTCTCAGGTTCATAACCTTAGTATTATCCTCCATTATTCACTGTCCTTACTCCCACATACCTAATAAGTTGCAAATCATACTTTTTCTACCTCTAAAACATTTCTTTCATCTGACCCCATCTCTCTACTCACATAGCTAACTCCTTAGTGTAAGTCCTCATTGCCTCTCACCTAGATTATTCTAAGAGTGACCTTCCAGTGTATCCTCCATATTGCTGTCAAGAGATTTCCAACAGACATGACCATGACACTCTCCTTGATAAACTCCAATGGTTCCTCATTACATCTAGGATAAAATATGAACTCATTTGTTTAGCATTTAAAGCCCTTCACAATCTGGCTCCAACCAATCTTTCCAGACTAATTGGACATGACTTTCCACATTCTGAGATCCCATCATGCTGTCTTCTCTCTTCCTCACACACAACTCTCCGCCTCCACTACAACTTTATGTTGGTCAACAACCGGGCTGGAATAGACTTCCTCCTGGCCTCTACTTCACAGAATCCCTCTCCTCCTTTAAGACTCAGCTCAAGCAGCATCTTCTACACACAGCCCTTCCTAATTCTCTTCAAATTATCTTGCATTTAACTGGGTACTTAATTTGTGTTTATACTCTTTCTATTTATTCTACATATAGTTATATACGTCCTAGTTATCTCTCCAATTATAAAGTAATGGGTATAAGGAAGGGATTATTTCAATCATATTATTATCCCCAGAGAATATTACAATGCCTGGAAGAATGAAATTGACTCCATTTTATCACATGAGAAAAGCCTTATTATTTACATGGGAGTCATTCCTGAGTCCATGTATAAAGTCAGAGCTAAGGTTAGAATTTATTTTTTTCTTTTTTTTCTTTTATTAATTTCTTTTGATTTATCAACAATCACTTCCATATGTTTTTGAGTTTAAAATTTTTTCTCCCCCTTCCTCCCCTCTACCCTCCCAAAGACAGCGCACAATCTGACATAGGCTATACATTTACATTCCTATTAAACATATTTTCACATTAGTGAAGTTGCAAGTAAAAATTAAAACCAATCAGAATTTATAATGTGAGAAAAAAGAAATATAATGAGAAAAAGGTATAGTATACAATTTAAAAGATTTAACCCTGAATTACTTAACCAAGTTATCAGGAAATAGACAATAGAAATGACATGGACACCAACTATAATTTCAACTAAAAGACCAATATGAATTAAATGCTGCAAAAAAGAGACCAAATGAGCACTGAAAGGGTATTAGAAAACATCTGGCTTATTTGACAGTTGGAATGAAATGGCTACCAAAGACAATACTGGCTTGGAGTATAAATCTATCTGTATTAGAAGAATAATGAATGATTATAATAATGATACAAGCAGTATTATTTCAAAAGCAGAGAGAAGAAAGGAGGGTAAAACCAGTCTGAAGAAAGCTTAGCAATATATTCAAATAAGAAGTCATCCCAAGAGCGCTCAGGGATGAAAACGGAAACAACAAAAACAAAAATGGAAAATTTACAAAAAACAGTTCAATAAACTATTTTCCATTAAAGACACTGAAACCACCACACATGTACCCTAACATCACAGGATTTAAGGTGCTTAGTGGGGAAAAAGAAATGGCATTAACGGAACAAATGGGGAAAGCAACTGGACTGGACCAAGTATATACACAGAGCTGATTAGTGCTGGAGGTGACATGATTATGGTGTCTCCTATTCATATATCAAGTTCATTTTGGATTCCTTGGAAGATGCAGCAACAGAAATTACTTTACTCAGTGAACCTCTGATAATAGGCATTAAGCATGGGATGAAACATGCTCACTAAAGGTATTCACCACTCTGATGGAGGCAATCCAGTAGAGTCCTAGTTGAGAAAGGATTTCTCATGGACATAGAGGTCTTCCAGACCTCTCACAAAGGATATTGTCCTGATTACATCAAGCCCTGAGACACTGAAGAGTCTCCTGGAAGAGATCAGAACTGCTCAAAGGTGTGTGGCCTGTTTACACAGATAAGACAAAGAGGATAATAAGAACTGCCCAGTCAGTCATTCAGTAAACATTTATTATGAACAGCAACTATGTATCAAGCATTGTGCTAAGCACTGGAGATACAAAGAAAGGTAAAAGACAGTCCCAGCTCTCCAGGAACTCAAAACCTAGTGAGGGAGATAATATGCAAACAGCTATGTTCAAATAAGTTCTATGTTGAATAAATTGGGAA